AATGTCAGCACTGTGCAGTGTGGCAGCTATTTCAGCCTGGCCCCAGTTTGCCTCTTGCGACAGTGAACTATATACACAATGTCGGTCAGCTCATCTGTCTGGGGTAGGAACCCTTACTTGTCCCCAGAGAAGATGCTCATTAACAGTTGAGATGACTGTGAATTATTCCAAGCTTCTTATTGCATATATTCAGTGACTGTTGTCAGGGGAAACTGGAAGAGGAGATCAGAGATCCTACAGTAAAATTTTACTTAAAAATTATTATGCAAGTAATGCACATTTGTCATAAAAACAAATGATACAGGAGTGTATAAAATAGGAGCTATTCCCTCCTCTAAATCCCTGTAAGTAGCCATTGTTAACAGTTCAGAAAACTTCTTTCTGTAGACATGTAAGTATACACATAGTAATGAATGAGAGAATATTAATTTAAAAATACATTGTGTAGGTCCAACAATGTGATTTTTTTCATTCAATGCTAGATCACGTGCATAACCCCCTGGCAGTGTAGACAGCTGTATCTTGTGGTTTGTGGCTGTGTAATGTCCTTGGATGAAGGAAGGGAGCTCCCTGAAATCCAAGGGAGCTCCTTTGCTGCCACCCAGCTCCCCACAGATTTCCCTGGTAGTTAAGGGGAAGCTAAGAGCAGGGGGAACCTGGGGAGAGGTTTTTTCCTCCCCACAGAAGAGGCCAGAAGTCACAAGAGTAAGTCGGGCCTGGCCAAATGCCATCCCTGGGTTCCTCCAGAACATGGTAGTGTTTCCTTTTGTCAGTCCAAGCCCTTGGTGGTGTTGTCACGATGACATTGGGAGCCTAAGGACTGGATGGCACCATGGGCCCAGCTGATGGCTCAGCCCAATCTGGGCTTCCTGTCCTGTTTGTATCCAGAAAACTTCTGTCAGCCCTTAACTGTGGGGGCTGGTTTTCCATCCCATGTCTTACCCTTTGACCTAGAGAAGAACATATTTTTTCCTGACACAACTCAACCCTGCTCTAGTTCCCGTCTGACTTTGTTCAAAGATGTCAATGACATTGCTCCTACCCTGACACTGGCACTATTGTTCTGAGTGTCTATTAGATTTTTACAGATATTCACCTGTAGAATCAGATCCAGTTCATGCAGGTGCAGTGGAACAATCCTGCCATCCCAGTGATGTGTGAGGCTGAGGTAGGAAGATCCAAAGTTTGAGGCCAATCTCAGCAACTTAGCAAGACACTGCTTCAAAAAAAAAAAAAGTCTGGGGATATAGCTCAGTGGTAAAGTGGGATGGATTCAATCCTAGATTCAATCCTCAGGACCAAAAAAAAGGAAGGAGGGGAGGAGGAAAAGGAGAAAAATCCCCACAAGCAGATCACCAGAAGTGACATTTGAGCCTAGGCTTGGGTGACTCGAAAGGTCAAGCCTTTCCATTATGACAAGCAGCCTCATGTTCAAGTCTGATCAAGGTCAGAATATAGGTACATTTAAAAAACATGTGACTTGTTCATTCGTGTTGGAAAATGTACACCAGGGTCTCTGGGCACATGTTTTAAGACCCCGCTATTCTCCACATGTGAAAGAATTTGATGGCTGGTGTCCAGGATGCACTGCAGTCCAGGCTTGGAGGGGACAGGATGGACATCCTCCCCAGATAAGAACAGAGGTCCCACCAAACTTTGCATGTGGCAATCTCACAACTGGGACACCATTACAGAAGAGAGCTCCACCAGCAGCAGCAGAGCCCACCTGCTGTGCCACTGCCCCAGCCTTCCTGGAACAGCCACTGAGAGGGCTCACAATGAGCCAGTAGTGTTCCCTCCCCTCCACTTTCTCTGTTCTGTTTACCTCCACAATTCGGTTTTTCCCAGAAAGGGGTTGGCTGGTGTCAGTAAGCATAACAATCACCTTACTTTTCTTTCTTTCTTTCTTTCTTTCTTTCTTTCTTTCTTTCTTTCTTTCTTTCTTTCTTTCTTTCTTTTTTCTTTCTTCTTTTTTTTTAATAAACATAGGTGTATGAAGTACTTTATACATTGATAAACAAGAAATACCTTCTCTGTTTCTTCTGTCACATCACTGTCCCCTTCTATTCAAACACTCAGACTTGGGCTCAGGGTGCAGCTTGCCTGGCATGTGCAACTGTTGCACATCGAAACAAACAGAAGTAATAATCACAAAATGCAAAGCCAGCTGCTGCTCAGGTCACATGCAGCTCTCAGTCCAGCCTGTCATTGTGTGCTGCAGGGAACCATGAATGCTCATTGCATCAGGGCTTCCAGTAACAAACACACAAAACTCACCACCACTCACATCTGTTTTCCGTAGAGTGATACCGGTCATTCAAAGAGTGGCATTCCCCTGCCTGTGCACAATGCCTTTCTCCTAAAGAGCCTGAGTGTATCTTTTATGCTGTTACCATTGCCTGCAGAAATACCTAGAAGCAAATGTCATTCTTTTTTTTACAGAGATGGAGAAAAGGAGAACAGAGAACTTGGACCTTTTCCCAAGGTCAGGGCAAAATGCCAGCTGAGCCAGATTTGGGCAAGCCCCCTTGGTGATTTTGGGGCAGTGGGGGCCATCTATGCCCATGATGCATGGGTGGTGGGACTTTTCAAACTCCTGCACCAGAAAAGAGCTCCATGTTCTTGTTTGTGTTTTTGAAGAGTCGGTACTTCTATCATCTATCATCTATCATCTGTTTTACATACGTTTTCTCATTTTATTCTCCCCTCTAACTGTGAGGTAGGCATTATCCTCCCATCATAAATACCTGGAAACTGAGGCTTGAAGACATTGTCTATGTAAAGTCAGACAGCCCAAAGTCTGAAGCTTGGCTTCATGCAAGCCCAGTGACTCAAAGTCCCTTTCCCTCACTATAGCTACTTTGGCTTTAGGAAGGAAACATGGGGACAGAAGGCCCCAGAGTGTCACACTGAAAAGGGAAAGCAATTTATGAGCAGAACCTGAGATTGAATCGACAGATTGTGCTGACCAATCGCATTCATGCTGTATCTGCTGGTATTTGCTAGATGACAGAATTGCTCTGCAATAGCTGTTGCAAAGCACTGCAGAGCTACTGCCCACAGTCACACCAAGGAGGGAGAGCTGACAGTTCCTGATCACTTAACAAGTCCTAAGCATATTGTGAGCATTACCTAATTTAATATTTACAATAACCCTGTGAGTTATTGTAATTATATTGTTATTACTGTTGGGCTTAAAGACATGTATGTGGAACAAGAGGATGTTGCCCCAGGAAGTCCACCCCTGCCCCATGAAATCTTTCCCCATTCAGCAATGTGATAACATGAATAGGTGAATTGATGACCTCCCCTCAGTGCACCACTGGCCATGGAGTGTTTAAGAAGGTCCCTCTCTGAGCCTAAAGGAGGAGAGAAGGGTATTTGCCACATATTCCTCAGATAGTGGATATATCATATCCAGGACACAAAGAACTCAAAAACACGCTTGCGTGCGCACGCACACACACACATCAATAAAATGGGCAAAAATGCACTCAAACATTATTGGTGGAACTGTAAATTAGTGTCACCACTCTGGAAAACAGTATGAATACAAAAAAACAGGAGTGGGATCACCATATGACCCAGTTATCCCACTCCTCAGCATATACCCAAAAGATCTAAAATCAGCATACTACAGTGATATAGCCATGTCAATATTTATAGCAGCACAATTCACAATGGCTAACCCATGGAACCAACCTAGGTGTCCTTCAATAGACAAATAGATTTTTAAAAATTGGTGTATATATACAATGGAGTATTATTCAGCCATAAAGAAGAATGACATTATGGCATTTGCTGGTAAATGGCTATAACTGGAGACTACCATGCTAAATGAAATAAGCCAGTCCCAAAAAGTCAAAGGTTGAATGTTTTCTCTGATATGCGGAAGCTAGTCCAAAATTACTGTTAGGGGAGAGAAAGGGAAAGGGCAGGGGTGGGGTCCATGAAGATAAAAGAAATCAGTGTACTAGAAGGGAATTGAAAGGGAGGGAGGAGGAACAGCAGATAAAGGAGGAACAGTGGACTAAATCTTCTTAACTTCCCTATGTACGTATATGGATCTACCACAGTGAATCTTACCATCATGTATATTCACAAAACATTAACTTTAAAAAAAGACTTAAAGTACATAGAAGGCCCTGCTCTAAAGATAGATTTGTGGGTTTGGAAATTGGCCTCCAGCTGTGTAACCCTGAGTCAGTCATTTAACCTTCCTGTGCATCAGTGTCCTGATTGATAGAATGGGGATAGCAGCCTCTTTCTCACAGAAGTTCCCTTTAGGAGAGGGGGACACGGCTGACCAGTGCCCAGTGCAGACCCCGCTACAGCTAATGCATTCATTCTATGTCAACTATTGTTATTTGTGTAGAGCTGGTGCCAACAGTTCCTTGGGATTGATTCTGAGACCATAAGTTCTCAGTTCAGGATCTGCAGAGGGCCAGGAAGCAGCCTGTTTACTCTTGCCTTGTTGGGGTGGAGGTGGGGTGAATCTGCCAAGTCACACACAAGGGCTAAACCAACCAATTAAATGGGGAATGAGGTCAGCGTGCAAAGGGAGGAATTTGCCAACACGGTGCAAGTGCGGAGAGCCAGGGCCCTGAGTCGTGGCCCATGGCACTGCACCGCAGTGAGGGCAGGAGGCCCTGGACTTAAAGGTTCGTGTTTTGGATCAGCAAAGGAGCTACAAAATAAGAAGCAAGAGCCTCCTATAATCCTCAGCATCTTCCCACTGACCTATCCTCGTTGCCTGTCAAAGCCACTTCTGCTTTTGGGTTTATATACGGAAAGGCACAACATAGGAGGAGCTACATGAAACCTTGAATTAGTCCTGACTTTCATACCAGCTGGGCCTCGGTCCATACTTCTGACACACAGACAACTGTCCTGGGTAGGATATCATCCTGCTGCTACATGAGGTGGCTTCTCCTAGCATCAGCAGGCAGTGGCTCCAAGAATCAGCCCCATGACCAGAATGAAGGGAGGGCTGAAGCTCTCCAAAAGGGCTTTGTCGGCTTTATAAAAGCTTTTATGGGTAGATTCAGAAGAGTGAATAGGGAGCCAAGATGCCAAGGCTCCTGATGACACCCATTGTGAGAAAGACATCTCTGCTTGGCTATTCAAGCCGGGCCATTCTTCATCTCCTCCATACAGAACTTCTCAGCTTGAATCAGGTCGCAGTCCTTCTTTGTGTTCACAGAAGCAGATCTGTGAGGGAAAAATAGCAGATAGATGCAGAGAGGAGAGACATCAAGGCTGTGTTCCTGCTCCAGGTTCCCATCGACCCTGGCCAAAGTGCACTCTTCTCCCTCTGCTAATTCAGTTTATGAACCAAAATATCTCTCCCTTTGCCTAAGCCAGCAGGCTGGGTTCCTCTAATTTGGTGCTGGAAGAGTCCTGGGTAATGGAAGCACAGGGCAGACTCAGCCACCACAGCCTCCATGTCCTGCAGTAAGATATCAGAGGATGGATCATGTCCTCATCCCCTCGGCTTCCATAAAACCTTCTTTCCAAACTCTGCCAACCAGACCACTGTGCCCAGTGCCCAGGGGCTCTAACCGTCAGACCTGCTGAGGGGTTTTCCAGGGACTCCAACTGTGGGAAAGGCCCTCCCATTTCCATATCACCAGCTTCACAGGCTTTTTTCCCTCCACCCCCTGTTTTTTTTTTTTTTTTGCTCCTTTCCTTTCTTTTAATATTTCATTTCATTTTCTTTTGAAAACAAACAAAACAAAAACAACAACAAAAACAACATTAAAGAATAGGATATGCCTCACTTTAAAAACCCAGTTTTCCTACAGGCTGTGCACTTCCCAAGATTCCTTTGACATGAAATCAGCCTCATTTGCCAGGTAGCATTTCAAATAGGAGTCTTTACAGAGCTTGCTTTGGCACACAGCTTTCAAAGAACACATGGGTTCATGTTCTGTCACTCCTTTGAAATTCACTAGCATCTCCCTGGGTGGATCTGAATGTGGGCCTTTTGTCTTTCTGACATTTGTTTGCTTCTTTGTTTTTATCTTTCATCTTTTCACGTGTATTTGAGGAGCCAGTAGCAAACCACACACATACAAAATGGTTAATAAAGTAGAAAAGAGAGAACCTTGGTATTTGTGATGTAAAATCCCCAGTTTCAGTCAGCTATTCTTTAAAAATGTTGAAAATCAGTGACATAAAATAATTTCAAAAAAAAAAATTGAAATCCCTTGAAATTTGATCCACTCAGCCTTAGCTCACCCTTATATGCTGGGGTTGGCAGGGAGTTGGGGAGATCAGGTCACACACTCTACAGTGTGGCAGCCCACCTCAACCCCTCCCCAAGGCTAGCTGTGCGCCTTGTAGGATGGAGCTTGTGGCCAGGTTTACAGCCCTCTTGGTCCATCTCCTCTGCCCACCTGCCCACCACTTTTTATTTTTGGTGCTAGTGGTTGAATCCAGGACTGCTTAACCACTGAGCCACATCCCCAGCCCTTTTTATTTTTTTTTTTTTAATTTTGTGACAGACTCTTGCAAAGTTGCTCAGGGCCTCCCTAAGTTGTTGAGGCTGGCTTTGAACTTGTGATCCTCCTACCTCAGCCTTTTGAGCCTCTGGTCTTACAGGTGTGCACCACTGCCCCCCAGCCCACCTGCACTTATAAAGTCCCATCCTATATTGTGCTGATGCCAAAGGAGACTTATGGGGCAGTGGTAAGTGTTTTGATAGATTTCAGTAAGTTCTTTTTCTCTTAGCTAGTTCCTAGTGTGCTTTATAGTCAATTTCAAGGTCAAAATTAAAAAAAAAAATTTAAAATGACAAAACCTCATAGTTTCTTCTTTCGATCAGAAGATTCCCAAAGCCTTCTGGCCTTCTGTTGGGCTCTGTAATTTTACCCTACTCCTAAGGTAATAAACAAGTCTGTTACTGTTTCATGGATGCTGATAGAAAACATAATACTCCAGAGGCAGAGGCATAGGACTTGGTTACAGCACAGCAAATAGCATGAGCTTCACGCTCACATCACACAGGGTAATGCAGGGAGCCAGACAGATGCTGTATATAAAGACATCACAGCTGAGGAGCACCAAGGCTGAGGATTCCACTGCTTTTATAATGAATTGTAAAAAGCCTGCTCTTTGTGCAGAGGGAGACAGACATTACCTCATCCCTCAAGGTTGCTTGCTGCAAACACCACGCAGAGAAATGGTCTGGGTAAAAAAGTAGTCAGGGGATTGCATTCTTGGAATACCTAGTGGGAACCTGAAGGGATGATTAGGACCCATGGCAGACTCTCCCAACACCCCTCCTATTCAGAATTCAGGGAACGATGCCTGGATGGGCCTTGGTGAGGGTGAGACTCACTCTCCCACAGCCATCCTGTCTCCTTGAACTACAAACAGGACTGCAGAGAGTTTCTAAGCTCTAGGTCTGTGACTTCTTCACTCCCCAGCCCAGTACCCTGGGGGACACATCTCTGGCTGCTGAGTTAACATCTATTAGCAATATGATAGCCAAACATTTTGGGGACCCTCACTGTTCCTGGCACCATACCAAGCCCTTTACATGTGTTATGTCATTCAATCACCACGACCTCTGAAAAAGGAGATCCTTCTCATCACCCCCTCAACCACTTCCAGATAAGGAAACTGAGGTCCAGGAAATTTAGTGAGCTCACTGCCTGTCCACCAGCTATGAGCAATGGACTTGGGCCACAGTCTGACTGGTTCCAGTTTTCATGCTTCATTTCCTTGCGGATTCTTCCCAATCTATAGGAAATGGGTTGTTTTATCAAGTTCTTCTTTACCAAGATAAATTGTTCTATATCTTCCTCTGACCTCCAGCTCCTGTGCCTACCCAAGGGCCCGGCTAGGATTCAGCAGATTCCTGGCAACCTTTGGAATACAAGTGCACGAGAGGATGACTGAAAAGGAGCAGCTGTCAAGGTGATCTGGGTTTCTGGAATAGCCCATTGTGCTCTATTTACAGTGCAGAGAAAAATGACTACAGTCATTCCAGAACAATTGGGGGCTCAAACCACATCTTTTGCAAATTAGAGAAAGTCATTTGATTGCCATTTATTCTTAAGTCATTTGCTTGTCATTTACTGAAAAACTGCAAATATGGAGAGGCCTATGTGCATGTGGGGCAGTGTGTACCTGCACAACCATCCACGGTCAGGCTCAATCACACATACCTGGTTCTTAACCTAATTCTCCCATTTACTAGCTCAGTGATCCTGGGCAGGTCTATATCTAAGGCTCATTTCCCCTGAATGGAGGCAAGTGCCTCCATAGGTTTGAACCAAGAATGGGAAAGAAATGTTGCTCAAGTCCCAGGGGGTGAGCATTCCTCTTGATGGAAATACTAAAAACCAGAGACTGTTCCCAGCATGGTCGAAGCAGGTCATCCAATCCTCTCTGTTGACCCCACTAGCCATAGGTGGGATAATCAGAATCCTTTTAAGTTCTTGTGTGTTGTTCTTGTAACAGTGAAAGAGGAGTTAGGCTACTAAGTGAGTCTGGTCTTCAGTTTCTTCTCTCTTCCCTTTTAATGACCTAAGTCTTCCATAAACCTCACCTTCCATGCCTGTAATCCCAGTTACTCTGGTGACTGAGGCAGGAGTATCAGAGGTTTGAAGTCAGCCTTGGCAACTTACTGAGACCTGTCTCAAAATTAGAAATAAAAAGGGTCAGAGATGTACCTCTGTTGTAGAGAACCCTGAGTTCAATCCTTAGTCCTGCAAAAACAAAGCGAAACAGAACAAGAGCTGTGAGGAAGTCTAGATACCCTGAACTAAAGGTCATAGCTACAGGAAATGAAAAGCTGCTGTTCTGGTGATGGCCCCCTCTAGTGGCCAGACCTAAGTGTGACCACTATTCTCTCCAGGATCCAGACTTGGAAGTTCTGCTATTCCAACAGACACACAATTTGGGCTCATAGGACAAGGTCAGACAAACCTGGACTTAAACTCCATTTTTGAGGATCCTGAAAGCTTCAGGATGTTTAATAAATCTCTCCAGTTTCAGCTTTCTTATCGTTTGGAGACAGTTGTTCCCCAAGATTGCAAATTTCTTCAGATAACATACATCTATGAAAAGAAGCAGGTGAAGCAGGATAAGTCTAGCACACTGAGGATTTAGTAGGTATCAGGTTTTATTATGACTATTTGCTCTACAGAGGTTTGGCAAATGTGCTTGATGTGTAGGGACGGCTTAGGAAAGAAAGAGAGTGTAAGAGAGAAGGAAAAGGAATTCATCTTCCCTCTTCTCTGATTATCCAGCAACTACTAATGAAGGGAATCCAGGTGGCCCCTTTCTGGATGAAATTAATTATAGATAATGGGTCTCATAAAGTCCCAGAGGGGTTCTTGGTTATTAAAGGAAATTAATGCTGTAAGGAGGTAGATCGATCGATCAATCAATTGATCAAGAGATAGATAGATGATATATCTTCTAGAGTATTTTAAAAACTTACTTCTATACATATCTGTAGAAAGATATCCCCAAAGATCTTGACCAGGTAACAGATTTATTTATTTATAGATCCAAAGAATGGCTACATGGTCCCCATTTTCTTCCTCTTTGTAGCTTGTTCCTCTTGAAGATTTTTTTTTTCCATGGTTCTTTCTCTCTAAAGGCTTTTATACTCTGAAATGTTGCTGCTTTCATTAAATGAACCATGACTTCTCAGGCCAAATCTTAGGAAATCTCAAAACAGGGGCACTCATTCTTTATGAATAACGTAAACAGTGGGATTCTGATATTGATTTCCAATACCCTGATCACTAGGATTTCTATTAGTTCATTCAATATCAATTGTGTGCCAACAATTGTGCTGTGCCTCAAGTATACCCAGATGAGCAAGATAAAGCAGCAACACAGAGCTCAGGGTCTAGTGGGGGATACAGACTGTGGCATAGATAATTACTGTGCAGGGGATGGCAAGCTAGAGTATGAAAAGCAAAGCATGTGAGCCATTAGATTAAGTAACTAGAAGAGGCATTTACCCGGAGTGGTGCAGAAACAGGCATGGGATGGGAAGGTACTGCTGGTTGGGCTTTTGGGAAGAAGATACTGAGACAACTTGGGGTAAAAGATGGTTAGTCAGGATTAACGTCTATGAAAAGAAGCAGGTGAAGCAGGATTGGTAGAGAAAGAAATTGAACTGCAGTGCAATCCTGTCAAAGCCTTGGCCAACCAGGCGTGGGATTGTGACGAGAAAACTGCCCACGCTAGGGACCTGAGGCTGACTGGGACTGCTCTAGCTGCTCCTACCCCACCAGCGAGGTTCCTGGATGTGGAGCCCAAAGCCATCTGCTGTCTGCTGATGCTCTCCTCACACCGAGGCAGCAAGCCCTTCTCCAGAGGGAATCTGGGTCATCCAGTATCCTGGCAACCTGAAAAGGAGGCTTCCTAGAATAAGGAATTGTTAAACAAAATTCACCAGGTAATGAGGTGGGACAGGTAGGAAGTGGTAGAGGAAATAACTGGTGTGGAAGGGTGGAAGAAACAGATACACTGCATGAGAGAGACAGGAAGAGGCCAAGCTCTGGTCAGCAGTGAGAGCGTAGGGCTCAGAGATAGATTTGGAAGGTAGGAAGGGACAACACCTTGCAGGACCTTGGATTGGATTGGATCCTAACAGCCTAAGATGTAAGGATGAGTTTAGAACATTGGCCTCTATGTGGGAGAATAGGTTGGGACATGAGGTCAGGGTTGGGCTCAAAGGGAAGAGGCAGAAGGCCCTGTTGGCAGAGTGCAGGTAGAAGAACACCCCCCAAGGAAAGATGCCACTGGAGAACAGTGCCTTCCTTTCAGGCTGAGTGCCAGTGGGCTTGGGAAGAGGCAGAGGACCCTCAGCAAGGCCTGGCAGCTTCTGCTTTTGCACTCTTGAAAGAGGTCCAGCTACTACACAATTAACAACTCACAACCAATCTGACTTCATCCACATCCTCATCCATTCCCTCTTTCTCCTATCATTTTGAAGCAAATCTCAGACATTATGTCATTTTATCCATACGCATTTTAACATGTATACTTAATAGATGAGGATATACTTTTAAAAATGTAACAGCAGCATTCCAAAGAGATGGTGGAGTGAGAGTGGGAGTAGGGGGTGGGACTTACTGATCCAGGGACCCAGAACCAAGGAGCTGCAGAGTTTGAGGAGCCAGCAGCTGTGAGTTTGCAGCAGCTGCTGTTTGGGGCCGGGTAGGGACAGAAGGCTGATCTTTCAGGCTGTGCACAGGGCTCCTGTTCTTTGGTTTCTTTCCTCTGTCCTGTTTGAACAGTGAACATGCCTTGGCCTGTCAGAAAAAGAAAGTTGTTACTTTTTCACAGTTTCAGGAATAGGGTGATGCTGATGGAGGAAGATTAAGGATGAGATGCATGCAGGCCCTCCTGCTAAGAAAATGTGATTATCTCCCCAAGAAGCTAAAAATAAGGAGAAGTCTGGAAAGAACTCATAGGAAGATTGTGAGGACTAAGAAGAAAAAGATGTTATGAGCAGGAGGGATGATTCTCAGGAGAGGACAGTGAAGCTGGTGAAGAAGATGATAGAATTGCCTGCCAGCAATGGCAGGCAGCACCTATGTAGCTTCTAGACAGAGACATGCTCACGGGAGATGTGGGCAAGGAGGAAGAATAACGGATCCAGAGAGGATGAGGTGCCCGCTGGCAGCCATAGAAATCTCCTCGTGGAAGAGGAGGGAGCTCTATGCAAATGGCACCAGAGAGAAGCAAAGCTTCTTCCTGGTCTTTGGGCACAGGAATCTTTTCCTCCCATGCCTTTGAAACTATGGGTGGCCTGCTTCCTGATGGTTTTCATTGGATTGCTGTCACTGTGACTTTTAGCCTAGTTATGAGCATTTTCTTTCAGGCTTCTTAACCATCATTTTTGGTTTGTTTTTCTTTCTTATTTTTTTTTTTGAACTGCCATAGTCAGTTATTCTATATCATTTCCTCAGATATGAATTGGGCTGACTGTATCCCCAAACTGTGTTCAACATATTCCTCTGTATTTTCCCAAAATCATCCAGTTTGAATAGGCAAGTTTTAAATCAGATGAGATGGAACTTTCAGCAGGACTAGGCTGGACTGGAAGTTAAATACCTCAAATGCAAGCCACCCCTGGAATCTACCCCGTATGCTGTTAGCAGGTGGGAAAGACAGATTCCATGGTGCATGGGTAAACAGAGAGATGAGAAAATTTAAGCTAAACTGTGCTTATATCCTGTACACTGTTCAGTCACTTAATTTTAAAAAACTGAAAACCATGAACATCCTGTTGTTGATTCAACTCAATCTTTTTTTTTTTTTTTTTGGAAAGGGACGGTCTATGGATCCTTTCCTTTGAGTTCTGCCATATTCTTATCCCATTGGTAGACTCTGGGCATCCATTTTGCTAAAACAGTGCCTTTGTTACTAAATGTTGAAAAGTTTTACATCATTATTGATCAAAATTTATTTTATGTAGCAAATGTTGTGGTCTGTGTTACTAAGGAACTGTGCTTTCCCCTCAGCCCCTTTGCATAAAGCTCCTGGTTGCTGCTCTTTGCAGTAACCTGCATGTTAGTTCCTACTCACTTTTGGCCAAGATTGTGCTACACCAGATGTGAACTTAAAATGGATTCCCCCTTGTGGGGAAAATGGCTATGCCTGGGTCTCAATGCATCCTTAGAAGTGTTTTCATTTGCAACAGCTCAGAGCTGTCATTGTGTACCCATTCCTCTCCCAGTTTACATGGGCCATACCAGCATAATCATTGTATTGAAATATTTGAAGGGCTGCCATGTGGTGAAGCATGTCCACTCCTCCTAGGTCACCCCTGAAGGAAGCCTGGGGGCCCAAGTCTGAAATAACAGAGAAAGTTTTGACTGCACCCTAGGGAGCAGTTTTCTGATAGAGAACTCCATAAAGAGAAGACTGTTATGGAGGGCCCTCCATGTCCCGTTGGCAAGTGCTTTCATGCACATTGATTTATTTAAACCTCACCACAAACTCAGTCAGGTAGACTGGGCAGGCCCTTACTCCCACTCTACAGAGAAGGAAACTCAAATGAAGACATGGCTTGCCCCAAATCACTCAGATTGCAAGTGGAAGGACAAGGCTCAAATCTCGCTGTCTTCTGCAAGTGAAAAGATGGTCCACGGACAGATGCTGACCCTGAGGATTTCTTGATGACTGGTGCTGTTGGAGGGGCTGTGCTAGGGAGCACAGATATGAAGTGACCTCTGCCACCAAGAAACAGTGGCAATAGAATAAAATGTTCATGTGTGAAACTCCAGGAAGACATTCCCTTGGCATCCTGGAATCTTAAAGCTAGAAAAATTATCTTATCTGTCCAGTTTATCCTGCTCTCAAAAACGAAGCATACTAAGCCTGTTTTTTAAAATGTTTGATCGTTTCATAGTTCTGTATTCTCAAAAACTTATTTCTCCATGTTTTTCTCCCATTCCAATACTTATTAAGCACTGGTTATATGTCAATCATTCTGCTAAGCACTTTAGTCACATTAATATTTAATATTAATGGTATTAATAATTTACAATTGTACGTATATATTCATTTCTATGATAAAGTAATATTAATCATGAGAAACTAGACGAACAATGGCCAGATCATGTATAAAAACAGAACCCAGGAGCACAATCTGCAGATACTAGTCCAGGCAGCCAAACCACCACCTGATAGCAATTAGCTCCAAATAGTCAGGACTTAATCAATAACTGCCAGCTTCCCTGGTTTTTGGCTCTGCCTCCAACCTAGGACTAACTGGAGAAAGTCAAACATACCCATGTTTCTAGCTAGCCCACCCTTCCAGCTAGCCCACCTCCAGCTTTCACATGCCTACAGCCTCCAATCACAGCGGACCCACGCCTACGCCTTTTCCCATTCTAGAGCTTTCCCACTGCTTTTCCTGCCTTCAAATCTCCCAAACTCAACTGATGGTGGCCAACTCCTTTGTCATAGCCAGCTCTACATAAATAGACTCTGAATGCTCTAACTTGGGTAGTCTTTATTTTCACAACTACCTATAAGGTAAATACTGATAGTCTCTCTGTTTTCTGTGAACTAGAACTCAGGCTCAAGGTCATACAATCAATAAGTATACACTAAGGAATTTAAGTTCAGGTCTGACTGATTATAAATTCTACGCCCTGAAACCCTTTATCTTAGAGAACTCCAGGGTTTCTCGAACTTTTCAGTATGTCCAACCTCACTGTAAAGCCAGTTCAGGATCCTCACCAGCCTTTCTACCATTAAGTCCCAGGAAGACTCTCCAACTCCATAGTCTTATTCCTGGGTCCTCCTCTTTCTTCTTTTTCTTTTGCCTTCTAACCATCTGTTCTACTCCTCACTCTTTTGTCCCCCAAGACCGGTTAAACTGTCAGGAGTCTCAGGGTACAAGTTTCCCTTTGTTGATGGCCCTAGTGATGACTGTGAGTCACCTGGGAAGGCAAAGCAGATAGTAGTGAAGTCTAGCCTTTACATAACACTTGCTTAGACCCAGTTCCTGTTGTGACAAGTAACACAGTTGATTCTCACAAGTCCATGGTAAATGCAGCAATACCCCATGTTACAGGTAGAGAAAGGTAAGACAACTTGTCTAATATCACACATCTACTAAGTGGCAGAGCTGAGATTCAAACCCAGGTTCTAATCAGATACTATACTCTGTGCTAGATATGAGAAGAAACAGACACAGGAAAATTACAAAGGTTCCAGAATCTCAGCAACATTCACATCTGGGACAGGTTGCCTCCTCCTTGCAAAAATCCTGCCCCAGGCTAAATTTAAGCAAAGCAGCATTTTTATTAGCTTAAAGTATAGAAGGCTGTGAGTGACTTGCCAATATCAAGCCCGGGATGAGAAAATTACTTTGTAGATCTATTTCCTTGGAATGTTAAGATAAACGTAGAATGTTGTATTCACCTATTGACAGTGAAACCCTACCTATGAGCCTGGCCCCTGGACAGGGAGCTGGGAGTGGCTATGGAATGGTGGTGTATTGTATTCTACAAATACCATCACATTTAATACTCACAACAACCGTAAGCCAAGTACAGCAACACAGATCAGTAGTCCCAACTACCTGGGAAACTACAGCAGGAGAATCTCAAATTTGAGGCCAGCCTGGGCAACTTAGTGAGACTCTGTCTCAAAACAAAATTTTAAAAACATTGAGACGTAGCTCAAAGATAGAACACTCCTGTGTTCAATTCCTAACCCCAAACCAAACCAAACTAAACCCATATAGTGGTTATCATTATTATTCACATTTTAGAGGACAGAAAACTCTGACTTAGGCATGTAAGTAACTTTCCTAAGGAGATGCAGTAACAGAGCTGACTGGCAGCTCAGACCTATGATTCCCCACCCTGGGTTCTGCACCACCATGTGGATTTTACCAGCCCAGGATTAATAAACCATCCTAGATCAACTCCTTAATAAGTGTTTGTTTTACTCAATTAATCCTTTTGCAGTTCTTATACTATCCTGAATTTAAAGAGCCCTTTAGGCAAGATTCAAGAAATGTTTCTGAAAAGATGGACCAGCAGCTATAGACACCAACCTACAACTGGAGTCATCATTCCAGGGCCAAGATGGGGGCAGAAGAGGTGAACAGTGCCTCCTTTCAGAACAATCCTGAACAAATATATTTTATTGCTTTTACATAGATTTAGTCCTCCCAGGCTTTGTGAGGTTGATGTCACATTGCCAGAGTGACCGCCAAGTAAGCTGAGACATAAAATAAATGCCACAGCTGGTAAATGGTGGATTTGAGACATAAGCTCGTGTTATTGTCTCTAGGGTTACTCCCTTAGCATAGAGTGAATAATAGATGCCTGTCTTTTATGTGTGTTCCATTTGGAAAGAAAAATCCTTTAGCTTTCAAATGTGCAGCAAGTCAGGAGGGCTTTCTTTTTAGTTGTTCCTTTAAATCTCAGAGACAAATACTTGGGAGTTCTTCCTGCATCTGAGTATGAATGAAGATTTGAGAGAAATGGGTCTGGGGGCTAAGTCAGGGCACAGCTGGATGTTTGTGCCTGGGATGGTCATACCATCTCAGTAAAGAGCTGTATCTTGTGTGGGTGTGAGATCCTGTGAATTATGGGTATCTTCTTTTTCACAATATAAAAACCCACATCTTGAGATGGCCAGCCCTTCACCTGGGTGCTTTCCCTGTAGTGTGTTTTCTCTGCTGGGTGTGAAGTTGGGGGCATCCTGAGGCCTGCAGGCCTCTCTTAACAGATTCATTACTTTCATCCATCAAATTGTCACACACATGACTTAACACCCCACA